AAAAAAAAAAAAAAAAAAAAAAAAAACACAAACAAAGTAGATTATTTAATTTCTCATGTCTTCCTTCAAGTCTCTGGAAGAAAAACTGAACAAGAAGAGATTGGGGGTGGACAGACCAAATGATGTTCAAATCAAACAAAAGGAAAAACGGCAAAACCAAAGTTTTTTGTGACCTGGTTTTAATGAAAGAACTGGCTACGACATGTATAGCTAATGTCTTTTCTGATGAAATTGTAGCTGAAACGTTTAAATTAGGAGAACCAAGTATTGGACAGCTGTCAGAGACTTTGTGTAAGCTTGGTTTTTGGTAGTGGTTTGTTTTACATTTGTCTGTGCTGAAAAAAGACACAAATGCCAATTTTTAGCAGATTTGTTTTATTTCAAATTGGAAGCTTCTTCTGTCGGAATCCAATCTTTAGCATTTTATATCTATGKGTTATATATGTGTTATCACCACCAGCTGCCACTGAAAAACACAATTTCCTGCATCTGAATTTATTTTAAATGTGCCCCCAGGACACCCCCTCATAGCCAGATAAAAAGCATGGAGACATACCTGCAAAAGAAACATGCACATAAAACTGAAACCGATACATTCACAGTGGCTTTTGCCTCCAACGCATGCTGACAGTTTGCTGACACCCACAGTAAATGACTGGAAATCAGTATGCAAACTGCTGCATTAAGTAAAAGAGTGTCTGTGAGTGACTGACCTATGCAGGTGRGCCCATCAATGTGCAGCTGGAAGCCCGGCCGGCAGGAGCACTGGTAAGAGCCGACAGTGTTGACGCAAATGTGCTCACAGGACCCATTTAGGACCGAACACTCGTCCACATCTGGTGGGAGATCAGAGACATTTGGGACATGAATGAGCTCACTTAGACTATATATTATACACAGTATATAATTATGCAATAATTAAATCTGTAAACATAAACTTCATCTAATTTTTATTGTTTACAAACAACTTCTAATGAATTATCTTAAGAAAACAGAACTAAGTTGTCACTAAAGAAAAATTAGGCACAAATACAAAAAATAAAAAGACTGAATGGAGTCTTGTCATCATTGGTACGCTGAGCCTGTAACATTTAAATTACGGAAAAAAAACACATTGAGCTGCTTTACATTTTGATTTTTATAAAACACCTGGWGTTGAGAGGAGTTTGATCACTGAGCTTTTGGTCTACAGAAAATACTTTTTAATTTCAGGCAATAATCTATAATTTTTACTTTTTAACAGAGGTCTATAAAATATTTGGGGAAAAAAATTAAG